TCTCTCTCTCTCTCTCTCTCTCTCTCTCTCTCTCTCTCTCTCTCTCTCTCTCTCTCTCTCTCTCTCTCTCTCTCTCTCTCTCTCTCTCTGTGTTTGTGGGACCATTTATCGACTTATGTGTGTCATCATTGCACACGGGCCATGCTAATGTTCTTTCCCTGTATCGTTACTATCGTTCCAATTTTAGCAGATGTCCTGAAGGACAATTGTGAGTCTTTGTCTCATACTAGGTTCTTCCTCGTATTTCATCGTCAACCAACCAACCAACCCACCCACCCATCCCAACCAACCCACCCCAACCAACCCACCCACCCATCCCAACCAACCCACCCCAACCAACCCACCCCAACCCACCCCAACGCACCCCAACCCCAGCCAACCTCAACCAACCCCAGCCAACCACAACCAACCCCAGCCAACCACAACCAACCCCAACCAGCACCAACCAACACCAACCAACCCCACCAACCAACCCCACCAACCACCCAACCCAACCCACCCCACCAACCAACCCACCTCACCACACCAACCAACCCACCTCACCACACCAACCAACCCACCCCACCAACCAACCCACCCCACCAACCCACCCAGCCCAAACCAACCCACCCACCCAGCCCAAACCCAACCCACCCACAACCCAACCAATACAACCCAACCCAACCCAACCCAACCCAACCAACCAACCCAACCAACCCAACCCCAACCACCCAACCCAATCCACCCAACCCAACCCAAAAAACCCAACCCAACCCAACCCAACGAACCCAACCCAACCCAATCAACCCAACCCAACCCAGACCAAACCAAACCAAACCAAACCAAACCAAACCAAACCAACCCAGCCCAACCAACCCTGTTATGACTCTGGTTATCCGTTGTCTGAAGACCAACACTCACTCACATAGACTTCCAGGTAAGCCCATACATACACAGAAGGACGGGGGAGAGGATAGGAGTATCACACCGCACAGGGAGAGATAAACACAGCGGAAGACTTGACCATGCGATATGACAGAGTACACTGAAAGTGGAATTCGCTCCACTCAATCCTCACAACCAGTCATAAAGAAAAGCCGAGTAGATCACATCCAGGAAACATTGAAACGATGATAGTCCAAACTCAGTATCACACTGTTTATTAAACTCAGAGTCCGGATAACCTCAGAACTAACAGTGCGCTGCTCAGAAGTGAGCAGTGCTTCACTCCCCAACCCTGAGTAACCACTCGTAACATCCCTGAGCTCCTGAAACATCAAGCGCCACCCAAGTACTGCCTCCAGAGGACAGCGCCACCCTGAAACAGGCCTCTGAGGTCAAGCGCCACTCAGAGGATGAAGAAGAAGACCAGCGCCACAGTATCTGATGATGACGAAGTGACAGAAGACTTCCTGGGTGGAAGTCTGCAGCAGCGCCACCACTCCTGACAAGATGATCTCTGAGGAAGATGCTGCAGCTATGGCTGCAGCTATGGCGGCAGCGCCACAACCCTGTGACCCCACTCCTGAGGAGGGTCCAGCAGGGCACCAACTTCTCTCGCCTCCAGCAGACCTTGAGTAGCCCAGACCTCCTGCATAGATGTTGATACGTACAATAAGAGAAGACGGCTGTGAGTGGTGAACAACATATATTATGAGAGCGTGGTGACAGAGTACAGCGCAGCGCAGGTCCCAGCTATGGCCGACGCTCCGAAGGTCTGGCTATGTCTGTCTCCCACAACGCTGAGCCGTCACCACTTCCGGTTCACGCGTAGTGCAGCAGCGATGTACTCGGTACCCACTGCCAAAAGCCCTGAACCGATGTGCCTAACCTATCTATAGACTATTCTAGCCTAGACTCGACCTAGACCGGACTGACTGACCGACCAGTACCAATGCTATTTCGGCCTCTAGGGCCTCTCCCAACCCGGCTATAGGCTATAGGACCGTCTATCAGCTTAGGCCCATAGAGCCCGTCTGTCCTAGGGGTAGCCCGGGTCTGCTATTAGCAGTTAGGGTAGCTGTTGTATTTTCCCGAATTTACAGATATGTCCCTCACGAATTTTCCTTACAGGCAGGTCACTCGGTTAGCCCTCAGCCAAACAAAATTATGAATCTGTCCTACCTATGGTACAGCCTCGACAGAGAGAGGCTACAGGCGACCAGAAAACAGCAAGTCATTCCAACCCAACTCAACCCACCCAACCCACCCAACCC